TCACTGAAAAACAGGAAAAATTCAGGAAAATTTGGTTTAAAAAATGCGGCCACCCTGTGATACAACTTTAACCAGCGGATTAAAAGATAAAGAAAACGTTTAAAGTCTGATGGATCTCCAAATATTTAATAGTAACTTCTGTTATTAATGAATATATATATATATAGAGTTTTGTGGGTTAAAATGATAACAATAAATATTTACCAATTTTAATTTCAAATAATTTAGCTTCTATATATGGGGCATTCCACGCCAAATCGGATGGTTTAAAACAAATTTTTTTTATTTCTTTAATTTTTTTATATTTTTTAGTACTCCTTGAAAGAGCTTTCTCAGTAAATTTTGAGATTTTCACAAAAACTGCTTTATTTTTTGTTTTTCGCTCATAACTTCTTAAAAAATGGTCCAAATCAAAATGTTCATTCTATATAAAATTTTCGTTTTTAAATGTACTTTTCGAAAAAAAATATATTGAAAATACTTGAAGCGTTTTAAGTCAAGATTTTTGAGTTTTAAAGTTTAAATCGTGTTTTTAAAAATGTGTGTCTTCTTCGATTTTCGCGAAAAAAATTTATTTTCAACTTCTATTTATTCAACAACTATTCACGCTGGTCCGGTAGTGGGCCTTCCATAATTACTATTTTTTTTTTCGATTTTTTAAAATAAAAATTATTATAAGTTTCGAAAAAAAATAGTAAAAGTAATTAAGGCCCACTACCGGACCAGGCTGAATAGTTGTTGAATAGATAGAAGTTGAAAATAAAAATTTTTCGCGAAAATCGAAGAAGACACATTTTTAAAAACACGATTTAAAATTTAAAACTCAAAAATCTTGACTTAAAACGCTTCAAATATTATCAATATATTTTTTTTCGAAAAGTACATTTAAAAACGAAAATTTTATATAGAATTAACATTTTGATGTGGACCATTTTTTAAGAAGTTATGAGCAAAAAACAAAAAATAAAGCAGTTTTTGTGAAAATTTGATCTTTTGAAACCGTGATCAAAAAAATCTCAAAATTTACTGAGAAAGCTCTTTCAAATAGAACTAAAAATATAAAAAAATTGGAGGAATAAAAAAAATTTGAAACCATCCGATTTGGCGTGGAATGCCCCATATATATACATTACTAAATAATATCCCAGGGGCGGAAAGAGCTAGGTATAGCAGACTATATAAAGTCATTAATGTCATTAGGCCAAAAAGTGAGAAATTGCTTTAAATTCCTTGCGGTAGGTGAATAAAATATTGTGTGTGTCTATTGGTTAAAAGAGGAGATTTCACTCAGAAATCTCCTCTTTCTCCCACAAGTTGCACAATATACTTTTTTACACACAAAAGTACCTCGCCCCCTCCGCCTTTACACTCACGGCACGCTACTGTTTTGACGAACTTTGAAATATTGTTAAACGAGTATTCTAAGAGACTCGTCATAGCAGCATTCGGTTTTGCCGAAGCCTGCTAAACGTATTGCGTAATTATTAAGTTAAATTACTTTTATAGAGAAAATAAAAATAGAGATAATAAAAATAATGAAAGTAGAGCAGTTTTTGAGATACAGTCAATTCCATATTATATGGAAAAATGACTATATCTCAAGAACTGTTCTACTTTTTTAACTTTTGACATTTTCGGATTCAGGTGAAAATTTTACATGGAAATTTACTGCTAAATGTTCGGGATACAAATTCTATTAACGAGAATTATTAGTGGCTGCTTTTACGCTATGACAATTAGTCATTTTTGACTAATTCATTTTTAGAGAGTAGGTACTTTTACCGAAAATACGGTATATATACAGAGTGTCACGAAATTGGTGACCCAAAGGGTAAATTCACCTTTATACATACATATACACCAATAATAATTTTAAGATAGTTTGTTTAAATCAATTGCCAAATAAATGTTATGTAATGTATACCTTCATTAAATCATTATCGTTTGTTTTTTATTTTATAACCTTTATAAAAAATATTTAATAACAGCCAAAGTATAATTATACCTGAATGTAAAACTAATAATTACTAAACATTTTTGGAACCCTAATTGCTAAATAATAAGTTTTATTCATAGATTAGTTTTTAAAAGAACATAATGCGTCAAACAACTTTCATCATTGAAATCCACTCTTAGAGTGACTATCTTAATGGCTTCGTTTATCCAAGATTTGACATCCAGGCATATTTGTTACCAAATGATATGTTTAAAAAATTAACTACGTAATGAGATAAAATATAATAAATTTTATTAACACCTTTGACTATCTTCTATTTATTGATCTGAAGATTACTAAAGTTTTAAAATGATTGAAAGTTCTGGTAAAAGAAACAGAATGCGAGATAAGTTTTAATTCACAAAAATGAACTTATCGTGAAAAATTGTTTTTACATGAATCTTTTGAAATATATTTTTTATATGGTACCTAAATTTAGCGAAGGAAGAAAATAAGCGAGTTTTTTTATGATATTGGCGCGGATATTGGCAAAAATTTAGAACTTTTGCTACAAAGTATTGCATGTAACAAGTTTTTCACATCAAACCTTGCAAAACCATTTTCAAATCCATGGAAATAACGTCAACTTAAACTGCAGTTTAAGTTGACGTTATTTCCTTAAAAGCAAGTTTGCAAACAGTTTTAGCAAAAATATACAGCTAATTTGAAGATTGATGAAGTAGGGAACCAGATTGTGGAAACAAAAATAGTTATTAATGTCATAATGCTGAGAAGTAAGTTTTTTGCTGAGCTCAAAGTTTGAAGGCAAAATAAAACATTCGGATTCTTCTCATAGAAAATAGATGCAAAACTGTTTGCATCATGCATGTCTAAGACCTATAAGGCTACCATTGTCCTGCTTAGCTAAACAATTAGTCCAGCTCGCGCGCCATTTAGCACACATCGGCAATAGGTAATTAACAGCAGGAATGCATAAGATCGAATTTCTTGCTAATTGGATCGACAGTTTTGCAACAGACATCTAAACGTATTTAAGGTACAAAAAACGTACGGTAGCGATTCTCTGGTGGAGAAGAATAGGACGTGTCGTCATTATCAATGGCTGAAGGTAAAAATTGCGTGATGGTGCGATGCGTGCAGGCCGCCAACCTGTAGGCAAAGGAGCCCGTATCTATTTACCTTTACGTGTTGTGACGTATGCAATTTGTATTCGGAGGCGTGTGTGGTCACTATTAAAAGTTTGCGTTTTAATATCCTTCTGACCTAACGCGACACTCTTTTGCCATGCAGCAAGTTAAAAAATTTGTGATGGTTACAAAACTAAAAATGATAATGATGATGAATTATGTATGTATGTAGAATTAATGAATAATTTTTCATCAAAATTTAGAAGGAAAAATTTCCAGAATTTAGTGTTTTAAAGATGTAGCTACATATACCTATACAAATTTTAATACCTATAGGTATACTATAATTTGAATATATTCAAATTTGTCCTCCTTTCATTCACAAATCACAAAAAAAGAAAAACAAAGTTTAAGTTAAGTTAAGTTTTTCGGCTTTGAAAATACTAAAATCATAAACAAAAATTAGTATGTTTATAAATCGACTGGTTGTTGATGACACACCCTGTAAAGATATTTTATCTACGTCTACATGGACAAGCTGTGACTTGATGGCGTTTTAGTCACGGGCTGAAGTTAACAACATTGGCTTTTGGGCATTTTAGTCACGGGCTGAAGTTGGCTTTATTATAAATTGCGAAAAAGTGAGGTTAAATTCGTTAAATGTCAAATATTTATGAATTTAAATTGGCTTTAAATTCTTATTTCTGTTAGTGGTAGATAAAGTATAGTATGCAACTCGTTTAATAAACTTCTCTAGGCACTCGTTTTTATTAAACACTCGCTCACAAGCTTCGCTCGTGCCTAATTAAACTCGTAACTAAAATGGCGTTTATAAAACTTGATACATAATATATATAACAATTATTTCTTCTTCTGTATTTTTTGTTTCATACAATTTAATTTCATACTAATTCTAATTTTTGGACCTGAAAAGGACGAAATAAAAACTGTTAAAAATTGAAAGAAGTAACAAAATGTATATATGTATGTAGGTACAAAATATGTACATATGTACCTATGTATATATAAAATGGTAAAGAAGCAAGACTTTTTTGTGTTATTATTTTGTTTTTACTTTATATACCTACCTACTCGTCTATACTATTATAGCATACTTTTATTTCCATAGGGAATAAAATTAAAATGAGAACAAAACAATAAACTAAAAAATTGCAATTTTTTCGAAATAACAATTTATTTATTTTCTTTATTTTATTATTATATATTTTAAATTAACTAAATTAAATTTAAAAAAATAGTGCCACAACTCCAAAGCTTTTGATCGATCAAAAGATCTTTTATAGCGAAAATCTTGGAGTAAAAGATTACTTCTGTGTAAATACCTAATTGGGGCCGGATTTGATTAATGTATTGCCTCATTTATTTATTTCAATTATTTTGCTAAATCTGAGAAAATATAATAGTTACATAGAAACAATAATTGTAAAAGGTTTATTCTAGATTGACGTTGCGGAGTTTCAAGTCAATGACTTTTTCGTGAATTTTATTTGATTCATCACCATCAAAACTCTAGTAAAATAACCCCATAAAAAAATCTATTAAAAAAATTATTGCTATAGCTATTTACAATATATATATTGTTAAATAAAAAAAAATGTCTACAAATTTGAACATGTAATACCTATTACCCAAGTACCTAATAGGTACCTACTACCTATCATTTTTTTATAGCAACAAACCATAACAAAATTATAAAATCTAGAAAAGGTTTTAATATTTTACCTAATCCAAGGTTTGCGAACTGTATTTGTTTTTTGTGTAAACTTTACTGAAAACGTTATTTTATAAATTTATTTGTCGTTCAAACCTACAATGTGATTATTTTAGCATACGTTTTGGTAAATATTGCAGTAATTTCTCAGTAACTTCTGAACTTTGACATATGAGGAACTAACCTTTTGCCGTTCCGACGTCTTCGCTTGGTAGCATACACCGTGCCCAGCTGGTTCATGACGGCGGGCGCCGCGACGACCACGGGGGCGGGCGCCAACACTCCCGTGGCGCCTTCACCGCCGTACCCAACCACGCTGCTGTTGCCCAACTGTTGTGCCCCAGACACGCATTGATTACCGCCCAAGAATTCCGTTTTGACGGCCTTTGGCTACACAACAACACACTCGATAGGTACCTCAGTCTCTTCACGTTAAATAAAATTTTTGAAAATATTCACCCGCACGACACAGAGTTTGTACTTTCGCGCTGTTTTTCACGAGGATACTGACGTCCGCTGATAGGGAGACCCATGCGTCGGACTTTCTCCCTCCACCGAAGGGGGCCGTCCCCGCCCCCTTTTGGGTGACGTCACAAGATGGCCTCGTCCGGGGTGGGGGATACTTAATCCATACGCGAATATCTCGGATAGGCTCGATCATTTTCGGAAAATATCGACGGGACGATGAATTTACGATATCCTTAGATACAGGTGCGGATTGATACAAAGTTCAAGACGATTTTCCTTGTATCATTATAAAATAAATATCCATTTTTATCTTACAAAAGCCTAAATTCTATTAATATTTATATAAGATGGAATAGTATTTAAAATTATGTGATGATTATTAGGTAAATACAAAAAAATGCATCCAATGGTGTTTAAAATCTTTTTTAAAATATCATGGATTGGATGCATTTTTTTGTATTTACTTAATAATCATCACATAATTTTAAATACTATACCATCTTACATAAATATTATTATACCTAATTTATATAGGTAGGTACCTACTTACATGTAGTCTGCATGTTAAGTTATACAGGGTGGACCAAATAGATAGATACATATATAGTAAAGTTTACTAAACTGCGCACCACTCAATGTGTCGCGACAAAAAATTTCGTTCTTTTTCAAAACGACATAACTTTTTTGTTTCTTGAACGATTTTATTTTGGTCTATGATGTCTCCTAGCCCTATCCCCTGGCAATTCATGATATAGATATGAAGCTTAAGGTTCTTCAAGTAAATTTCCTACAGGGTGATATGTTAAACGGTGAAAAATTTCAATAAGTTCATCCAAGCCCCGTTTGTAAATTTCTCGTTTTTACTTTGAAATAATGAAGTATTATGTCTTACCTTGAAACGTTTTTGAAATTTTTTGAATTGGAATCGTAGCAACGAAAATATGAATTTTTTTTTAAAAGAGTACAATTAAGGCTTTTTTGTAGGCAATTTAAAATCCGGTAATTGTTTTCGAATTTTGATTCTTAGTAGGTAATTTTGGTTTTATCTGAAACTTAAATTTGACAACTGAATCACAATCAGGAGGTCAAAACATGTCACGAACGTAAATATCGGTTTTCGCAAATTTTCACCAAAATGTCATTTTGAAAAAGTGGTCTTTGCTTAGGCCCCTCTGAAAATAATGGAAGTTTGTTGCTTGTCGCTTGTTCAGAATTATTCAAGAAACAATCTTTCACCCTCTTATCTTCTTGTTCTTAAAAAGACTGAGTGTATTGCCTACCAAAAAGCCTTAAATGTACTATTTTTTAAAAAAATCATATTTTCTTTGCTAAGATTCCAATACGAAAAAATTGAAAACCTTTTCAAGGTAAGACATAATACTTCATTATTTCAAAGTAAAAACGAGAAAAAAAATATTTTTTTTACAAACGGGGCTTGGATGAAGTTATTGAATTTTTTTACCGTTTTACATATCACCCTGTACAAAATTTACTTGAAGAACCGTGAGCTTCATATCTATAGCATGCATTGCCAGAGGATGGGGCTAGCAAAAATCACAGACCAAAATAAAATCGTTCAAGAAACAAAAAAGTTATGTCGTTTTGAAAAAGGACGCGATACATTGAGTGGTGCGCAGTTTATTTAGGAGTTGGGTTGCTAAATAGTAGTAGTACTAGAACTATTACAAATTTTATATTAAAAAAAAATATCAAAAAATTTCTCTGAAAATAAATAATAGGTTTGTGTTAATTTAAAAAAATGTGGCAACTTTTGCAATAATGCTAGCCAGAATTTGACGATGCATTTCTTAACAATTTTTGTCAACTCTGCTTGTATGCTTATGTATGTGGAGGTGCATTATCCAGCATAAATAAAAAAACGCCAAAGACAGTTAAGGGTTCCACAAATATAAGTGCAAAATAGAGTTCGCCATTTAAATTTGTGTTTGGAGCATCAAAACTGGACAGTTGAAGATTGGCGAAATGTCTCATTTTTGGATGAATTTAGAATATGCCTAACAGACGTTAAATTCGTCTCGCAATAAAATAGGAAGTGTAAAGTTTTGAGGTGGCGCACAATAGGCTAGAGAGAGCTTCCAGCGGTAATTCAAATAAGTGAGTGATTTATTTCGACAAATTTTAAAGAATTTTGAATTCTTTAATATCTGTTAATGTTCGCTTATATTTTTGTTATTTACTCATTAAAAACATATATCTTAATTTTGCTATGACACAAAAATACTTTTTTTTTTTCAAGCGGCCATGATATATACCTACAACCTTATATGCATGTATATAGATAGTTGAAATGCGTCTTTTTCATTAGCGGCACACAAAAAACTCAAAAAGGCCTAGAGGTAGAAATCCATAGGTGACTTAATAGACGTCAAATAATAATAAAATTAATTTAGCATTTCATATATACAAAGCAATCACGATTAATTATATTAATTATAATCGCACGGAATATTTAGTGATTATTTATTAAATTGAACGAAATACAGAACAACTAGTTTATTAGTATAATATTATGATGATAGACGAATCGCCAATGTCGAAACTTCAAACAAATGACAGTACGTCAAAATTAATTCAAGGGCATCATTTTGACAAAGCAGTGTTTATTTTTAGTTTAGATTATTTCCCTCATTATAATATGAACCAATCAAAAGCCTTGAATTTTCGAATAAATTTCGTTTAAATAAGCGATTAAATCACTAGACAGCGATTAAATTTTAGCCTCCATATTGGATTTTTGTTTACGATTTTATGGTGTTATTTACAAGTTTTAACAAACATTTTTTAAAAAACAATAAAAAATAAGTTATCTAGTTTACGAAATTTATATATATATTTATATCAATTATTACTTATAACATACCTTAAATTAATGGAATTTTCTTTAAAAAAATATTTATAAATTTTGACACATACGTCAGATTGTATGAATTGTTAAATAGTTTCCTTTAATTCGATAAATAATCTAGACGTATATCACTCAACCTTTAAATTTAATCTGTCAAACTATGCTCAGTAAGTTTTTTATTTGATTTTTCTTTTTGGAAAATAGTTTCATGCAAAATAATTAAAAATAAAACCCCTCGACCGCTACGCGGTCTCGTGATTTTCTTAAATTATTTTGCATTCAATATTTTCCAACAAAAACCAATAAAAAAACTACTGATCCTAGTTTAACCGATTAAATTCATAGTTCTCGTGATATAATATATGAATATTTATCGGAATTGTAAGGGTTAGAAGTTTTTTTAGTTTTTATCAATAATTTCTAATGCTTTTAGCCAAAATTTTATCCCACATGAGTGATTTAATTGAAGAGCTGCAGTGCGTTTAATTGTACACTTAAACGAAATATAATTAAATAAAATAATTCTATTGCTTATCTTATTTATATTACGCCCTTGAAAAAAAATAGTATATGTTATTTGAAGTAGAAGCTCTTTTTGTGCTTTGTACAGTTGCCTGCCTCAGCTACGCTTCGGCCGTCAATCTCTGTACTCACCACAAAAAGAGTTACTTCTACTCCTTATGACAATCTACTATTGTTAAAGTGGATTTGTTTTTCTAATGATATACAGCATTGGCCATAATTCTTGGAACCACTGTAAAAAAGGTCTAACTCTAAAACGCCTTTATTATTCTTTATGAAATTTTGGATAAAAATTCTTCAACTTATATCTCAGTTTACGTGTTCGAGGGTTTTTCGAGAAAATATTTTTATTTTTATTTAATACTGAAAAAACGTTCGAAAAATAACTTTTAGGGAAATTTTTTTAATAAATAAAAAATATGCTGTTAAAGACCATATTTTTGTTAGTATACCCTAAACATTTTGTTCAAATTAAACAAACAGTAACGAAGATACAGCGCTTCAAAGTCGGTAAAAATTGCCCCTTTTTGATTATTTTGCTGAAAACTGGTCATTTTTGAATCGCTGTATCTTTGTTACTATTCATTTTATTTGTACAAAATTTTTAGGGTATACTAACAAAAATACGGTTTTTAACGCCATATTTTTTATTTACTTAAAAAAATTTCCCTCAAAGTTATTTTTCGAACGTTTTTTCATTATTAAATAAAAGGGCTTTAAAAATATTTTCTCGAAAAACCCTCGAACACGTAAACTGAGATTTAAGTTGAAGTATTTTTATCCAAAATTTCATAAATAATAATAAAGGCGTTTTAGAGTTAGATTTTTATACAGTAGTTCCAAGATTTTTGCCCGTTAAATCGGCTCTCTAGCCCACTGTGTGGCATGATTGGTAAAAAAATCCTTTTGATTCCCATTACACAAACCGTAAGAGGTCCGCGATTGTTCAACGGATCTTAGTCCAAGAGATAAGGTTAAAAGAAGGATTAGAACTCGTCAAAATAACCCTGGCAATGCAGATAAACTAATTAATGCAGTTTTAGAGAAGTGGGGAAATGTTTCCCAAGAAGAAATTGATGAAAGGCATGCCTCACCGAGTTCGTGCTTGCATTGACGCTAAAGGTGGCAACACTGATTATTAAATTAGCAAAAACCTATTTGTTCTTCTTAAATTCTAATTCACAGTTTTGTTATTATATTAGTTTAATACAAAATTTGTTTTATTATTTTTTCTTTATTTTTCTAATAAAATTGGTTCGGATAAACCTTCAAATCACTTATTGTTGCTCGTATGGGTATTCCATATAAGTTTGGTTGTGCAAAAAAAATAATAAAAAGGAATAAAACATTTATTTAACATCCGGTTTTGTTTTGTATACATAATCATGTGTAGATATGTATATATACATATCTACACATGATTATGTATACGAAACAAAACCGGATATACTTCTATACCTACATGTTTTTTCCTTTTTTCTTTAAACTTAACATGTTAACATGCATGGCAATTTTGGGACCATACTTTCCATTAAAATATATATTTATAATAAACAAAGACCAGATTTTAGACCCTTAAAAATTGGAAATTAGGACACATAAATATGCAATAAAAACCTACAATCTAGGC